CCCCAAAACCCCAAAACCCCAAAACCCCAAAACCCCTTTGATTGGGAAGATATTGAATATTAAATAAATATATATTTAGCAAAGCAGTTGGTTTCAGCCATTTATGATAACATACTAGTTCTTTGGTATTCTAGCTACTTATTTAAGCAACGGCCTTGCATCATAACTATGAATTTTCAGAAAGAAATTGAAAGGCAAGAAAACACAAATAGCAAAATTAACTCAGAAATAGCAGTAGCCAATACTGATTTAGAGGTTTATTCTGAGCTTACACAAATGACACTGTGTCAAAGCGAAGGAGACAAAAAGCAGAGAACTTTTGAAAAACTTGCAGAGCAGCCTGTTCTTATATCAGATACTGACAATGATTCCATGGAGCTATTGAGCCAACCAAAAACTAAATGTATTGATAAATCTAAATTGTTTCTCAATAATGAAAAAGTGAACAACTTTAGAACCCGATATAATTCTAAAGCAGTTTGCAAACAAGGATTAAACAAGAATCCAATCAAGAAAGAAAGCAATTATATTCGACTGGAACAACTAAAGAAAGCTAAAAAATTGTTTGAATGCAGCATATGATCTGAGACCCTTAAGGATTCCTCAATGATTCCATGAGGGCATATCTTTTGAGAAAATTGATTGATTTTTGACCACGATGCAAAGTAAGAATCAGAACTAACATCATAGACTTGGTTGCCCAGTGTGATCAAAGGATCTTGATATTAAACAAATGAGACCATTCAAAAAGCTGGATGAGCTCAGTAAGTAAATAATATCATCTTCTAGTTAAGATTGTCCAGGATATGATAGATTATAAGCTATGAAAGAAGAAAGCGAAAAGAGAGCTCAAATCAATTTCAAAAAGTATACAAAACAATGTCAATAATTGCCTTGGCAGCCCTAATGATACGATCGATGAGTTAATCCTGGATTTCAGAAATAAATTCATGCCACATATTAGTTGGACAAAGGAAGGTATTATGTCAAATTTAATGTTTAGAATTGAATAAAAATACCCACTTTTATAGTGAAGAAGATTTAGACATGATTCAAAAAGTATTAAATCGTAAAGATATGGAACTCGATATTGAAATCACTCTGAGTCATGATGATCGACAGCAAATGTATTATCCATTAAAGGAAGAAATAGTAAGCTTTCATTTAATTTCTAGAGATTACTAACAAATTCTGGAATCAACTTGAAATCTATCTCTAAAGTAATCTGAGAGCAGAATAATATCAACCCTAATGAGTGGAGTAATTTTGAGCTCTATGTGAATATCAATCGGAAGTTCATTCAGGTCAATTATGCCCAAACAATCTTGGATATAAAGAACAAATTTTGGGTTTTAACAGGACCACCTTACATTCTTTACTACAAACATTTTATAATTGATGCATCAAAACTGGGGGAGAATAGAGATGCTGGATCTCAATCAGAAAGTATTGATAAACCTTTGATTGATACAAAACCAATTTCACTGATTTCTCCTGATGATACCTCATTTAAAGTAGAAAAAGATGCCACCTCAAGTAATGGAGGTTTAAGCCAACAAGTCAAGTGCATGATGGAAGATTTTGAGAATGAAACTGAAAAAGAAAGCTCTAGTGTTGATAGTGAAGATTTTAAAAATGGGTTCAAAGGAATAAAAGGCAAGAGACAACCTAAAATTATTCTTGACCAAAAGAATAGTCAGGTTATGATTAATGATATTGATGTGAATAGTATTAATGAGCTTTATATTGATCGTGATCCAAATAAAAAAGAAAAGGAATTAAACTTTAATAGTTTTGATGGCACCTCACCAAAGAAAGAAACTCCCCCTGTAGCCAACCCAATTATCTTTGGAACAGATTCTACAGCTGCAATTATGAATCCTGATCCTGTAATATCAAACCCTACAGAAACTGAAACACCTCTCCTCCAAATGTTCGATGAAGCATTTGCAATATAAAATTGATTTTTCACAAAAATAACAATTTTCCAAAATTTTTCAAAACATCTCTCTAAAATCGGGGTTTTGGGGTTTTGGGGTTTTGGGG